TTTAATAATTATGATCTCATTGGGAGGGTAATATTCAATATAAGGAAGCCCAAATTGTTTGCTTTAAGAGAAAGTACCTTTCAATGAATGCTATGTTGCGGTCATCGTCAGTTCAATCTTTAGACGTTGCTTCGAAGAAAGGCAAAATTTCAATTTATTACGGAGCTAAAGGAAGAAATCTTGGGAGTCACTCACAGGTCAAAAATTAACACATCATCAGCCATCAGGACATGTATCAGTAGGAGTTGTCAAAACCGTATGTCCTCTAGTTCGTTACTGTCCATTCTTCATTTCGTCCTGCACCTTTCCTAACTATTGATTCCGTATTTAATTGGGACACAAATTTTGTTAATTTTATAGAAACGTAGAAAAGGTTCTCAGTTATTTCCCACAGTATTTACACGTGCATTTATAAAAGAAGTAATCGTTAAATTGTCTACTAAAAACACGATTCTTTTTTTTTTTAATTAATTGATCGTGAGAAAACAACGGGATGACAGCGTTCTAAGGAAAAATGAAACAAATTAAGTGTTCAAGTTTAGCACCTTGTTTACTTTTTTTTTTGTTTTTGTTTTATAAAACAATAACACATATACTCTCCTATTCTAGGGAGGGAGGAAAAAAATTAAGATACATAAGGGACTTGAAAGAAAACAAAACCCTCTAGATCAAAAAAAAAATCAAATATTTTCTTAGTGACTAATTTACCAAAAGTAAGATTGGGACTCTAGTGGACTTCAGCCTAATACATAAAATTAACAACTGTAAAAGTGATTATAAATATATGCAATAAAAACAAGAAGTCATGCCTTTTTCTCCAAAAGTAAATAAGTTCAAGTTGTTCTTTAACTAATTATAATTGTTATCCTACTATGATCACACTTTGGATGACTCAGACAAACGTTTGATTCTTTGAATAGCTCCTAACTTGCCCTTTGAATTTTCGAAGTTATAATCGAAACCCTTGTAACATTTTGGTCAGAAAATGTGGGTAGAATCTTCAAAAATAGAATTCAATGAGTTGGTTGAGGAATAAATAGAATTAAATATCCACCATGCACCACTTTATTCTAAAGGGCCTAATTGACAATCAATCAAGGAGGGCTAATAGCGGCTGTTAGAAGAATCAAATTCCTCCTTTTTTTTTATATTTTAGAGGTATAAGTGGATAACGTTCAAAATTCAACTTTGACTGCATGGAAGAAAAACGTTTTCTTGGAACTTAATTTAAAAAAAAAAAAAATGAAACACAAGTTTTAGTTGGTCAAACATAACATGTTCAAAGCCACAGATGAGTCTCGATCACTAGGATGATGGCTAAGGGCATGGCAAGCTTTGGACATTAATTCTTTCGTGACAAATTTGGCATTCTACTTATTGGCTATTGAACTTTTTTTCTTGGTCCAAATTAGTCATTCGATCAATTGATTGAAACATATATATTTGGACAAAAAAATGTACATTTTTTATTAGTTGAATGATAAAAAAAAAAAATTACGTTTTTGTTAGTTGAGTGAAAAAAAAATGCAGTGTTCTATTAGTTGAGTGACCATTTTGGCTAAATAAAGAGTTCAATGACTACGACGGGAAATTATCAATAATTTAGTGACAATTTTTTTCATTTATTCTTCTACTTTTCTACAAAATTATTTTAGTTTTACTTTCAAGTTATTGAGAATATTTTATGACAAATATATTAATACACATAAACTTAATGATTTCAAAACATTTCATATCTCATTAAAAAGTTTTGAGGTTCACAAATGAAATGTAAGATACTAATATTTAATCTTGGGATGAAAAGTATGATAACCAAATAAGCGTGGATTTGACTTTGAAATATCTTACACTAATCAAGGGATTCGATGGAAAAGCACTTAGCATCTGACTAGTCCTGTCAATTCTGTAGATAAAGCATCATCTGACGTGAGAATTCATCAGTAGATTGAAGAAAACAAAAGCCACTTGCTTAATTAAATGAAACTCTTTTTGTTCACATTTCAAATAATAAAGTCACTTCCTTTGAATTAGACCTGTCTTTGCTGAGGGACTGTTCTCAGTTAATTATTTTAGCTTTAACTGATTATAGATTCTGATTTTGGATAATCAATTTTTGTGATGCTTTCGGTTGCTTTTGTATTTTGATTATAGATTTTTTAATGACCAAAAAATCTAATATCTATAATCACCTAAAGAGCAGCTTTTCCTGATTCTGATTATTATCTATAATCAGTTTCTATAATCAGATTTTGTAAAATTTAAAGTAACCGAGAGCAAGGCCTAAATATTTGAATTTGAGGTACATAAATACGTTCACATGTCAATTGCAATTCTGAATTAGGACACAGAAAAACTTGCCCACTTGATTCCCGAAGCAAGTTTTTTTCTGCATTGATTTAGCATTTTCAAGTTGTTACTTGGATTTAGTCCCCAAATTGGGCTAGTAGTCCACTTGAACAAAATAAATACTTTCACATGTCCAATCCAATTCTGAATCAGGACACGGAAAAACTTGCCCACTTGATTCTTGAAGTAAATCTTGGGGATCGATTTACCATTTTCAAGTTGTTACTTGGATTTAGTCCCCAAATAAATACTTTCACATGTCAAATGCAATTCTGAATTAGGACACAGAAAAACTTGCCCGCTTGATTCTTGAAGTAAATCTTGTGCATTGATTTAGCATTTCCAAGTTGTTGCTTGGATTTAGTCCCCAAATTGGACTAAATACTTTCGCATGTCAGATGCAAATCCGCTTTAGGACCCAGAAAAACATGCCCACTTGATTCTTGAAGGAAATCTTTTGCATTGATTTAGTCCCCAAGATTGGACTAGCAGTTGACCAGAACAAAAATCGTCAAGCCAAGAAAGGCCCTTTTACAAAAGCGTTCTCATGAAAGGGTAAGATTGATATGCATGCCATTTCAGACTTTTTATCTCCTCAACTTTTTCTTGGCCAATGTCACAGACGAGAGCTTTATTCTTATTCTGATCACTTTAGCAACCAATTCATTTGTCTCAATTGGTAAAGTTGGGCCCTTTTTTGTTCGTCAACAATGTTCTATGGGCCTAAGTTTAGATGTGTGGCTTTTGATATCCAAGATAATGTCTAAGCTGTCTCAGTTGGCCACTTCCCAAATATTATAATTTTAACGTGCTTAAGTCACAATCCAAACTTTACCAAAAGTTATAAATTCAAGGCCAATATATGTTATTCCTATGCCCTTGTCTTTTCTTGTAAACAAATACACTAATGTAGACTATGCAGTGCCCATGAGTCAAAAACTAGAGTGGTAGGAAAGAGATGGTACTAGACTACTTTTGAAAATTGACCATATATTCTTTAGCATTTAGAAATTCAATGAGGTAACTTTGACAAGATTCAAATCACCAAGAAGTAATTTTCTTTTGATTGGGGGGGGGGGGGGGAGTTAAATATGGGATTAGTAGGTTGACTTAGGGTGCGTTTGATAAAATAGAATCTGAAAACTAAAAACTGAAATTTGACTTAGGGTGCCACTTAATTAATTCAGATGCTCAATTTTTTGTTATCAAAGGCATCTGAACATATTAAGATCTGAATACATTAAGTCTAAATGTTGAATTGAGTTATCAAACAGGGTCTTGGAGTGGAAAAATATGGATAAGCAGATTATTAAGCATATGCAAGTAATTCACTCCTCATCTCTTTGCATGATTCGCGGAATTTTGTTAATATTTTCTTCAATAAACCGATTTCATTTAGATTCTTTGTCAAGTAAAATCCCTGCTGGGGAAACAATATGGTAAAACTATTTTGAAAATGCATGAAATTATACGGTCGATGAAAAAAAAAACTTTTCAGCCGGCTCTTCAACATATGTCGAATTGGAAATTATTACGAATTTATCGAACTGGGCCAGGCTTCGTAAGGCAACCCAAAACTACAGGGGAGGCCGCAGTTTGTAACTTCTTTAAAATTCGTGAACTAGTTGGGTTTCAGCCTGTCAGAATTCAATTGAATAGAAAATGTTTCTAGAAAGCAATATGGGTTTTAGATGATTAGGTCTTAGTTACAATAAGAAAAATGGCCCAATTTGGAACTCCTAGGCATTTTTTGACCAAGCGGCACAAACAACAAAGATAACTCCAATTCAGCTGCAATACATTTAAATTGAGAACATTAATAAATGGTATATACAACGTTCAATTTGATAATAAATCATAAACGTTGTACATGGAAAAGAAGTTTTTTTTTAAAAAAAATTATTTTCATTTTTCAGCTAGGAATGGACGAAATATAAAAAGTGGGGAAGAGAAAAGCAGATTTAAATCTGAAAAACCCTAATTATTGAAGTCTCAATCTTAGTCATTAGATCAATACATTCTCAATGGTGCATGAATATTATGTTCCACGATAAACTAGACATGGGGGGAGGGGGGATGGGAACAATATGTTTATGGGGTGAAGGGTATGTAGACCAAGGAATAAGTTAAATCTTCTGTGCATTCTTTAAGTCCCCATTTGGACAAATGTTTTATCAATCTTGAGAGTTCAAACTTTAAAGACTGTAATTTATTTGTTTGCTAGGAGACCTATTTAAAAAATTGAAAATTCTCTAGAAACCAGTTTGACAAGCATTGCTCCAATTGACACCACGACTAGGCATCTAAATTGTTATTTCTGCTGTGCTTTTAAATGTTGCAGTTCACGGAAATGGAGAAAAGACTTGTTTGATGAAGGACCATGCCAGCAATTCGATTGGCCATCCATCTAGTTCCCAGATATCATGATTTCTGATTAAGAAGGGAAAATATGTTACTGATTAAGAAGGGGAAATAATGTGGTTGAAACTTGAAAGCGCACCCCCACCCCTCTTCCTTTTTCGGCCTACCAAAGAAGATGCAATGAAGAAATGTCAGTTGAAGTTCAATCATGATCATGCACAAGAGGCATTATCTACTTGTTCGACAAATATGCAATAGCAGCCTGAAGCATGACTCCCAATCTGAACTTGTAGTCAGAAAAGTTCCTGCTCCTTGTGAGTTAAAATCACGCAATCTGAAGTCGGATAAGCAATGCAAGTCAGCACATATCCTGCTTTAATTTGACTGTCATCAAGATATGATCCATCAGATTGGTCAACAGATCCTGAAACGATCTTGCCTGTGCAAGAGGAGCACGCACCAGCCCTGCAAGAAAATGGTATATCTATTTCCTTATTCTCTGCTACATCCAAGATGTACGCGTTGTCTGGCACATCGAGCACACATTCCTCACCATTAGGTTGAATCAGTTTTACTTTATATACTGCCATGGCAGATGCCCGGAAACCAGAGGCAGACATAGCCTTCAGACCACGGACTTTACAGATGCTGCTTACGGATCCTAAGGATGAGGGACTCTTGAGAAAGGGACTCTTAATTTGGTTAAGGGGTGGGTTTCTGGACACACAGCTCGCAGGAAGTTTAAGGTTTGAGCTTGACATCTTTAACCTGTGCAAGAAATCTTCAGCTGGTTAGATGAATGAGAATCAGGAGAAAATCTTTAATGTAGTATTAGGTGCAGTACCCTTGGATTCTTGACAACCATCCTTTTTTCAATATGGACATTAAATGTAACTAGTCTAACTCATAACTTTCCAAATCTGCAAGCTTATAGTGATTGGTAAATTTATAGCGTTAAGCTGCAGTTCACAAATACTCTGAAGCCAAAGCAGAAAGCAGACAACTTTAGCAAAGATACTTCAGAAATCAGTATTTGGAAATGGTAGTGGCTGAATGCAGATATTATAATCCACCAAAGAATGGCCATTTGGTGATCAATAGAAGATAAACGTCTCGCTGCTCCAACTAGGATGGAGTTTCTTGGCAGCATTAGGTACAGTATTGAGAGCAGTTCTGCGGTACTAGAGCAGCCATTGCATTCACTGCTACCAAAAATTGCAAAGTTCTTCAACAATTGCTAACGCAATGAGGTACAAGGCTTGGTTAGGCAAGAAGTTTCACAAGGGTACCAAAGAGGAAGAAAACAGTGAGATTATCAGGCATACTTTTACTGCTTAGAATTAAAAGAGTGTTTTCTCAAGCTGGCAAAACCAGTCAGCAGAGTGAACTATTGTTTTGCAGGCTGCGTTCTTGGGTCTTCAGTATGAATTATTCCATCGAATCGTGGGTTCCTACCAGCACTAAATTTCAACAGCTATATGGAGTAGTACTGCTCAAGAGAATTGACTGCATCTACAAACATAATCATAAATTTCGCGTATCTTGATTTTGAAAAACATGAAAATGCACAAGATTGACTCAATACTCAAGTAAAATAGAGCAAAGAAGTGCAGAGAAGCAATAGCAATTGCACATTAGAGACATTGAATCTTACAGGGTTGTTATTGTTTTGGAGCAGATTGCAGCTCTAATGTGGCTCGGATGAGGAGGGGTCTTCTGTGGCTTAGCAAGAACAGATAAGAGTCCAGCTGAGAGCACTGACTACCAATGCTTTAGCAGTGACCCAACCCAAGTTCGCCGTAAGCACATGTCCTCATTCACCATATCCATCCACATTCAAAATGGATGCAAACTTGTAAGCACGTCCTTATGCACTCCTATTTTTGTTAGCTACACTCTAACTATCATTCTAATTATATAATTTTTATTTATTAGACTATATGATAAAACAGATGATAAAAATATAACTAACAAAATATAGAGTACAAATAACATTTTTGCGTTGGGGGGTTTTTAAGAGGAGGGGGAAGGAGGGAGGGGGGAAGGGGGTGTGGTAAGCAAATTTTTGCTTTGTGACATTGACTATTGGAAGAGCAAACTATGACCAGTATGACTCTTCGCTACAAAGTCCAAACTCAAATTCTTTGGGCTACTTTAAATTCGACTGCTCCCTCCATTCACAATAAAAGCCTCGAGGTTGATTTCATAGGAATACGAAATAACTTGACCAACCATTTTTCAAAAGATCAGAGCAATCAAACAAATGGGGCAATATTATCCAAAAAAAAAAAAATATCCATGCTCCTTGCATACGAACAGATTCTTGGGTTTTCACGCAGGCAAGCAGTACCAAGAGTAGAAGACCGCACTTAATTGCCTAAAGTCCTCTGAATCAGGTTTTGTATTTTGGCTTCTGACTAAGCAAGCCAGTTCTTTCCTAGGAGGCTAAGACGCCAAAAACAAGTAGTCTGAAAAATTCAATCCTAGCTCTTGACAACCACAATGTACTTGCATTACCCGACTCAAACATATGTGACTCACTTGGCAATGGCATAGCAACACAGAAGCATACTTGAGGCAGTTCACAAGATTCAACCCCAAAATACTGATGATTAATTGCGGGCAGTGGCATAATACCATAATGATATAGTTGCCCTTGGAGTATCAATTCTGCAGAATTACTTGCCCAATGGCATACATAGAAATCAACAGTTGGAGGGGATAAAGAAAGATTTGAGAAACAAATGCAACAAGTGTCCGAAATCCCACTTGAACCTTACATGATTCTTCAGGACAAAACCCAAACATTCATCCATCTGCAATCTACCTAGCAAGCTAATGGGTATGACCTGGACTCTCAGTAAAGTTCGCCCTCCTTGTGAGTGTGGATTACACAATCAGCAGTGGGGTAGGACACACAAGTCAGCGCATAACCAGATTCGATGTGGTCGTCGCTAAGGAAGGATTGATCAGATTGGTCGACAGAACCCGAAACAATCTTCCCAGCACAAGTAGAGCATGCGCCAGCCCTGCAAGAATATGGCAAGTCAATTCCAACAGCCTCAGCAGCATCAAGGATGTAAGTGTCATGAGCAGCTTCAAAAGTGTGCTCTCCTTCTGGAGTAACTAGTTTGATCTTGTATGTTGCCATGGCAGAGGCCCTGAAATTAGGTTTAGCTCTCAAACCGAAGGTTTTGGAGATGCTCTTAACAGATGTTAGGGATGGTGGGCTTTTGATCAAGGCTCTTGAATTCTGGTTCTGGGGTGCAACTCTCACCATGCAGTTGATTGGAAGTCTGGTGGTGGCCATTTTTTACCTGAAAATATACAACTTAGAATACAGTCCAAAGCCATTGCTCCAAGGCTATATACAACATATGAGACATAGAATTGACACAAACAAAAAGGAAGCGCAGGGTGGGAGGTGGGGTTAGGGGCGCTTTAGTACAGCTAAAGAGAATTTCTAACCACCTCTCAGCTTTAAAATTATCATGCTTTCTCACCGTACAGGAAAAAAGTAAATCAGTTTCAATCAACACAGTAATATACAACAGCAATGCAAAAACCTTGAAGTGAAGGATTCAAACCATATTCAGCAACTATCCCAGTTGTATGCGTACACGAGAAAGAGAGGGAGGACACATTCCAAAAGAACAACAGAGTAAGGAATATTGTGTATGCCTTATCTCAGACAAACAGAAATGGAAATGATGTTCCATCTTCATAACATCAAGGCGGTAGCTATCTGGAGCACAATGAAAAGAAACAGGGGAGTAGCTCTCTGCTCTTCACTCGAGGCTCCATGTCAAGTTCAGAAAGACATATATTGTGTCTTTACCATGTGAAAGACACCATGTGTATCATTTCGCCAGTTAAAGCTTTACTTAACTGGTGCTAGGGACTCAGAAACACAGACAGCAAGAAGATGCGGGACATTTGCTTCCTATCAAAAGATTAAGCCAGATATTCACGTTGTCTGCCAAACTATGTCAACCCAAGAAAAAGAACGATCCAGGTATGGAGGGGGATGGAGACAGAAAAGGGAAAATTTTTGCCAACACATTGAAACAGAGAAATAAGTTTTGAAATTTTGGCTACCACCTTTATCTGCAATCTAGGGCACAAGTACCATCATGCTTGTAGTAGTATTAAAACCATTCGCGGGAGAAAAGATATGCAGTAATATTGCAAACTAGCTTACGCAGGCAAATGACAAAGGAAACCATAACAATAATTATCAGCAAGAACCTGTCCAATGGTCTACTCATTACTACAATTTATGTTCGCTAAACAAGTAATTCAGCATCCAAGGTCTATTGTCGTACATAGCCATAAGCCAGATAGACTAGTGATGGAAGGAAGGGCCTGGGGAGGAGGGCTGAAATTTCACTCAATACAACGCAAAGGGGCAAGGAAAAAGGGCAAAAGCTAGTAACTTTATCAGCACACACGGACAAAAGGGGGGTCTTGAATGTGAAAACATTCATGATAATCAGCAAATATTGAAACACACCAGTGAATTGCCTTATATTCTAGTGCTTAAACTACATGGAAAAGTCCCATAATTCTGTCAGGATACTTAACAAAGATATACCAAAGCTTCTACGCACACGCACACGCACACACACAAAACCTTGGGTAATACAGTACCAAGTGAGCCCATCAACCTTAAAAATCCATAAAACTGGAATTCAAGAAAGCAACTCTAATTCGGTCAAAATAAACAAAACAAGGGCTCTTATCTTTCCTCAACTAGATCCTAAAATACTCAATAGTCAAATTTAATTAACCAAAACCCGTGATTGATTTAGGAGTAATCAGGATCTAACAAAATTCAGCTAATCTAACCACATCTCTCCATCTAACCACAAACAAACAAATAGTCCACAAACTCAAAAACAAAAAACAGAAATAAAGCAAGCCCGCAAGCACACCCTTAAGGAAAAAAGAAAAGAAGAAAAAAGCCCGGAAATGAAATCTTACAAAAAAAAAACTAAAGAAAAGAACTGCGCTGATCTTCCTATCCCAAACAAGAAAAGAAAGTTTCCCTTTTCTTCTTACCCTTTTATAAGGCAGCAAGGGAGGAGGACCCGGAAAACAAGAGAGAGATAGGTTCAGGCGGAGCGGAGCGGTGGCGACCAATACTGAACAGTAGTAGCAACAGATGGGGGGCGGAAGGGAGTGTGGAAAATGTGAATTATTTATAGAGGGAGAGTTGAATGACCAGTACGGTGAAAGACAAAAAACTGGAGAGTGGAACGAGGCCAATGGTTGGTGTTGAGATACTACGTGAACATGATTTGAGTTCGACTTTAATTTTAATATTAATGAATTATAAATATTATTTGAATTTAATTTATTAATTTATATAAGTATTTGAGTTCGATTATGAAACGAATTTGAGATGGAGTTTGATTCTGAAAAGGATTTAGTTATACTTTTAATAAATAATACATTATTTAGAATAAGGTTAATTGTATTTATTAATTTTAAAAAATAAATGATGCTAATTTATGTATAATTACTTTTTAGTAAAATATAATATATATTTAATAATATTAAATATATTTATATTTATTTATGTGTTTATGAACTATTTGATTCGATTATTGAACAGAGCCAATATTATATTTGAATTCGATTCACTTATTATAGGGTGTATTTGGATTGCTTCTTTCTAAAGAAAAATTGCTACGTTTTTCATAGACATATTTTTTAATTACCTTTTTATTTTACATATATCAAATCGTTATAGTAATTT